AATAAATAAATAAATAAAACAAAATAAAAAAATGAGAAGGAAACAAAAACATGAAAGACAGGGAAAGGGCACATTATTTTGTATTCACAATGTTATGATGCACATTATACTTGGTGAAGAGTCAACCCAGTACAACTGTGAAGAAAAACGAACCCCTCGAGTCGCCACACTAAGTCAAGCTGTAAGAACGATTTAAAAAAAAATTAAATGGGACCAATTTGTTTCAATTGATGAAAAAGGACACACTTGCCGTATCTGAAAGAAATGTGTTCTGACAAAAAATCCGGGTTTTTAAAGCATGTCCTGTTTATTGTCACTTTCGGTGTCTTGTTTTGGTTGGTTCTTTTGGGGGGTTTTTTTGTTTAAAAAATATGTTACAGTCTAGAGTAAGAAATACTCGCGTAATAACAACTAGAAATTTGCATGACGACGTACTTGACTACTGCAGCACAGACGCCGGTCCCAACATCTCGTCCGTGACTCTAGTAGTTGAAGCGATTAGCCAAGAGCAGGAAATAAGTGATCTTAGCATCGCCTACTGTTCAAGTGTCTCGTATTTTTACCAGGAATGAATTTCTTTTGCTTAAAGGCAACGTCTTGTTCGGCCATGAAACAACCTCTTCCGCTTAAAGGCAAGCTGGCAGCATTCTGGTAGTTGCACTGTGGCAATAATAATGTGAGGGAGATTTTTTTGGGGATGGTCTTACAAGAGATGCCACCTTTACAAAACTTTTAGTACATACTGAGATGACCATCAGCGCTGTGTGGGGTGTCATGGTTTGATCTTACACTCAAATGACGTGAGTTTGTTTCCCTTTTATTGGTAAGTGTCTTACGGCGCTCGCAACTGTGTAAGGTCATATGAGCGCGCGGGACACATTAAACATTTTCAGTTGGTAGGAAATTTTGAATTTTGCCCGGGTGGCAGCTGAAGCCTAATCCTATCCATTTGGGACCACCAAAGGATCTTTAACACGCACAACTTGCAGACTGGACCACCGAGATTTTTCGCCTTTGTCCGAGAATGCTAGGTGTAGATCATTATGTGTTCACTAAACACTTTACTGCACTTGCTGCTGTTTTTTGTTATTTTGCTGCTTTTTAAGGTGAGGACAAGGGGGGGGGGGGATCATAACACGTCTCCAAATTGAGACTGCTGCTTGAACCTGGATCCAAAGCTCTGTTAGGACCGCACATTTTAATTCTCTAAGGTAATATCTTATTTTGCTATATACGTAACGTGCCGTATATCAGGAGTAGTCCTTTAAGTGGTTTGTCTAAACGCAATACTCAAGGCTAAACAAAAAGCACTTAAGGAACTCGTAGAAGATCGTCAGTACCTACGTACGTACATTGACTCTAGCACTCGCTTTTGGCCAGATGATAGCGGAGGCGAGCTTGTTTGCGCAAATACTCGCCCAATTCAACACGCCTTGGGCAGCTTGTTGGATCTCTGTGATTTTGGAAGAACATGTGCGCATACCGGAAGTTATCCATTGAGTTCCGATCGTTTACGAAACGTCTGGCCAATCAGACGGTCAGATAGACGGCTCAAGAAATGGGTGTGGGACTCCTTCGTAAATATAGATGGTTTGAGGAGGTGCGAAACCCTCCGTCATCAAATGAACATAATATGTCACAGCTGTGCTGATACCACGCAGTGCCAACAAGTGTTTGAAGAGTTATAGTCCACAGTTTCGTGTTGGATAGAAAAAGTTTGTTCACTTAAGTGTCGTGACAAGAATATTTGCAATATTATTCTAAAAAGCAAAGATATATATTATTACAATCATTGCGCCTTTTAAACTCTTAATTTCCACTTGACATGCTATTTGTTAAGGTGACGTGAGACTATTTCGACGACTTTTTTGTAGGCGTTTTGTGATAAGCCAAAAAAAAAAAAAAAACAGGCTATTTTCAAGTGAATCGTCTCTCAGTACAAACAATTCGATTTTGAAGATTTCATCACTTATGTCACAAAGAAAAGGAGAAACAAAACCCAACCGATTCTTACTCGAGTTGTTTCTAGATTCTGTGTGCTACTTCACATTTCTAATTTTATAAACAAAACGAGAAAAAGAAACACAGGAACATTCTCCATAGTGTTGCTGTAATGCATGCAAATCCCATCAATTAAGTAGTGTGCAATGCAAGAAAGATTGACACTTCAGTTCTGTGTAATTAATTTGATTAGATAAAGCCTATCTCTTCCTGTCTGGTTGCTGGATTGTTCAGTGGTTCGTGTCATCTTTCAGAACGAAAATAACAAAGGGATTCTGCCGGCAACAGGAACTACAACAACAGCAACAACAACAACAACAACAACAATAACAACGGCAACAATACAAGCGTTAACAACAGCAACGACAACGTCAAGAACAAACGCTCTCTCCCCTGAAGCCAGATACAGCAACATTGCTCCAGTTAGAGAACCCAACTATTTGATTAGCGTCGTGCCTAGATGTTCAGTGGTGCGTGTAGCTCTCGCCCTGCATCATCATTCCCGCGTCTAGGAAGAGCCTGGTCCGCAGACTCCTGGAGAGTAACGGACTACGGAACGTCATGACTATCTTGTCCATTGCCCTCCTCGCGGTCAGTATAGGCCTGGTCACCTGCGCTCCTTCGGGACTGCTCCAGGCGGCAGTTTCTGAACCTAAAGAGAATGTTACGTCATCACGTCAAAAGACCACATCGTTAGAAGATGAAGCGTTGACAGATGACGTTTTGTCGCCACAGAATGTGTCGTTACCAGACAGCTCCAACTCAGCGCAGACCGTCATGTTTGAAGAGGTGGCCATGTTAAATGTTACGTCAGCCATCTATCCTACGTTACCAGCTGACACCACGTCATCAAATAACGCCACGTCATCAAATAACGTCACGTCGTCAAATAACGTCACGTCACATGGAAATGATACAACGATAGGCAGAGGAGCCCAGGCATCACAGCAGGTCGTGAATAATGATTCCACAACACATACTAGCAATTCTTTCCACCGAAACCCCCAACGAGACCACACATCTAAATATGACGACACCGACACACAAAACGCTGAAAATATTACAAAAACAAATCCTGTGTCAGATGATACCACGACTTATCAAGAGATCAGTTCCAGTGCTGTTTATGTCTCCTCAAACTCTACAGAACCCGTGAATCAGACCGCGACAGTGGAATCATCTGTACAAAAACCAGTGGATATACCCACGTCCACGACTTCAATATTGGATAATTCTGGATCAGAACCCAACTCACTGGGTACAGACAGTTATTCAACGACACGATCTTTTGAAGTGAACAGGGTCTTGAAATATGACAGGAGTAATGAGGATCGTAACGTCGAAAGCGAAACGGATCAGGGCGAAGAGGACGAAACCGTGGAGACGATAATCGAAGAAGATTATGGTGTGCTTGCTGGCACCAAAAAAGAGACAGATGAACGACTGGAGGCTTATCACGGTGAGTGAATAAGTTTAGTCTGGATTTTGCACTGTGCTCATTTCTAAGATAGTTTTTTTAGTGTGTTCTTCTTTTTGGCGATGAAAAAGCTTAGTCTAGTGGTTAGTCTACCGGAGGTTACAGGTTCAGGTGTTCGAGGCTCAGGCCCGATGTTGGGTCGTTGGGAAAAGAACTTAAAACGAATTTTCGTTACTTCACCCAGGTTTGACTGGGTACACGGCCACAGACGGTAAGAGGTCTTGTTAGTTTGTTTGTGTTTTAACACCTGCGACATGGCTGCTTTTACAATGCTTCCAGGAAGTTAGGATTTTTTCAGACTGCTATCAGTTCTGCTGGGGTAATTATATAGATTATAATGAGTATAATAATACAAATAAATGCTATCCATTATTAAGCGCCCAGATCAGTGTGTACAAGGGAGAAGGTGGAAGAAAATTATGGTAACATCATTATCCCTGAAGGGATGTGTGGAGACCAAAAATGGTACCCCGGAAACTGGCGAAATTGTTATGCCCTTTGCAGTTGCAGGCAAAAGGTATGAGGTCTGCAAGGTAAAAGTTATTCTACCGGTTATCCCCACCTGTTTGCTAGAATATTGCACATCCTTCCATTCTCCCCCCTTCCCACCGCACCCCTCAAACTCGTGCTTATCTTTTCTGACAAGGTCGTAACTTGTCTCTTCATAATATAATAAGACATTATACCACAAAAAGGAGAGAAAGGTGGTGGTAAAATACACGATTTTGAATAATCCAGTGTCCCTATATCAGGAGGTGCAAGCCCTCGTTATAACCCTCATTACCCCCCCCCCCCCCACATGAAATTCCCATTACCAAAAGAAAAAAAAGGTGACATCTTTTCTCTTTCTATCTACATGCAGTTTTCTGTCTAATTCTCTTGTGAACCGAACACACGGTATAACAAACAATATACACGTATTTTACAATTTGTTGTCGAGTTGAACCCAAAAAAACATAAATCTGATTGAATGACTGGTGAAACTTTTATGTCTTTGATCTTGGTTATCCAAGTATACAGCAAAAGCAACAACAACAAAAACAACAACAGCAACTACAAAAACAACCACAACAACAAAAACAGCAGCAACTGAATCATTAATGACACAATAACGCAACTACAAAAACAGCAACAACAAGGAATTCAGCAAGAGCAGCGGCAGCAGCACCACCACCACCGCCATCACCACCACCACAACAACAACAACATTGAAAAAAATTGCGCCGCATCTTTTTCTGTTGTGTGAGTGTGTGTGTGTGTGTGTGTGTGTGTGTGTGTGTGTGTGTGTGTGTGTGTGTGTGTATGCGTGTGTGTGTGCGCGCGCGCGCGCGTGCGTGTGTGTGTGTGTGTGTGTGTGAGAGAGTGTGTGGGTTTTTTTAATAGATCCACCAGCAAGTGTACTAACTGAACTGAACTATTATGAGAAATTTTGTCATTTTATTTTAATTTGCATATTGACCTGTTGGTTTATCATGAAACGAAAACAAAATGTTTTCTCTAAGGAGTAGTTGTAGTACAAATAGCTTCTTTTCATTTTGTCTTTTTGTTTCAATTTTGTTCTCTTCTTCCCCACGACAATTTCGTAAAAAGTATATTCTGGTGTTTATTTGTTTCAGCCTATATCTAGAAAATTATGATCCCCCCCCCCCCCACCCCACACCCCAAACCGCCACCCCAATCGGCCAAATTTGGTCAAACTAGGAGGCTGGCTACATCAACTTGGCCTTTTTTCCTTCTTGGTAATTTGCAAATAAATGGAGTTTATTAATAAAGATTCCCTCGTCTTGAGATGCCAACTCACATCCACAGCGTACAAGATGAAGAATCTAGCCACTACGTGTGGATACACCACAGACACCGGTAAATCAGAAGGCGTGAGGTTGATTCCAGTTTTGGAAGAATTTTTATCGAGTAACTCAGTCCCTCCGTTTGTACATCGTATCCCTCTCAGCCCACGGACAGGGTCGAAGTCAGCCTCCCCTAAATAATCTTATTTGTGTCCAATTTTTAAAAAGTTTGGAGTGATTTTTTTTTGGGGGGGGGGGGGCGGGAGGGACAACTCCATCAAAATAAAAACAAGAGTAAAAACGCCATGTTGTCTTGTCATAATTATGTTTAACATATTTGATTAAATAGTGGGATTAGACAGCTGGCCGTGTCGAATCCTGCCTCCTATAAAATAAATTGTGCTGGGGGTTTTTTTGGGTTTTTTTTTGGGGGGGGGGGGGGGGACAACTGCTTCAAAATAAAAAGAAAAGAAAAACCCATGTTCTCTTGTCATAAACGTTTAACATTAATTGAATAATAGGATTAGATTAAAAAGTAACGGAGCCGTCTTATCCACAGATGCAACAACATTCAAAGCCCATAGAAAGAAATTACGATCTTTTGGTGAGAAGTTTCCCATGTTTTGGTCTTAAAATCTGGAACACCTTGCCCCAGGATCTAAGACAAAATATAAAAATTTTGATACGCTTATGACTTATTCGTTTAATTATTAGTTATAATGTGTTAGTAAGACAGTGCTCATATGTTTTGCTTTTTACTGCTGTCCTTTCATGTACATTATTAAGGAATGGTTGTGTGAGTTCTTTTTGGGGTTGAAAGGGTTTTTCTTGTTTCTGTTAAATATTTTCTCTTGTATGAATGAATATATGATTGGTGTAAAGCGCTCAGAGAGCTTATACTAGTGTGGGATAGAGCAGCAATCAATTATTATTATTATTATTATTATTATTATTAGTAGTAGTAGTAGTAGTAGTAGTAGTAGTAGTAGTAGTAGTAGTAGTAGTAGTAGTAGTAGTAGTAGTAGTAGTAGTAGTAGTAGTAGTAGTAGTAGTATTATCATAATTATTATCATTATTATTATTATTATTATTATTATTATTATTATTATCATTATTATTTCAGAGTCGGTGGTCATGTCACACCTTGAAGAAGAATTGGACGAGGAAGAAGAAATGGCTGCGGCACAGCTGAGTGATGATGTCATTATCGATGCCTTGTTTACCAATCTGGACAGCCTACAGGATCAGATTGAATTATGCGAGGAAGGGGTATGTTGATTCCTCCAGATTTATTTAAGATGTTCTCTAATTTTCATATTTCGCTACCTTAGAATTACATAGTTCTGTCTGCTCAATATCCAGTAAAAAAAAAAATTGACGTAAAGGTATTTGAGTTTCACATAATGTAAACGTTTTTCAAACCCACCTCTTTAGACAATATCTTGATAACGACTCGGAATGATCTTACGATTATGATAGAGCAGATAGAGCATTTGGATTCCGGGTCTCAAAGTCTTAGTGACTAAAAAGAACCAAAATGCCAGAAACACTTTGTTATTCCGAATTAGCGATTAATCGCCGCTGTAAGTAGCATTTCTCATCACTGCACCATTATTGCATAGATCTATCACCATTTTGGCCTTAAACTAAGAGGTGCCATAAATATTAAAAACTGTCAGTATAATCTAAAGTTCACTTTAACTGGTAAACCTATTACTAAGTAGACGTGTTAAAGTTCACATTAAGAAATTAGAATATAATATGAAGAAATGAACACGAAAAAAGACAATAGGACATCCTGCTCTGATGAACGGTTGCTTATGCTCTCCAATAAAAGGATGTACTTTTCACAAAAACTTTTTTGTAATTTACAGTTTCAAGAAACCCGCAAAGCATCGCCCCTTACCCCCTCCCCTCACCCCACTGTTCTTCGTTTCCGCAAAATACATTTTTAAAAGCCTACTAATGAACCAACAAATCTTTCACCTAAACACCTGACCTGCTCTACCAAGTAGCCAAATAAACTAACTAACTAACTAACTAACTAACTAACTACCTACCTAACTAACTAACTAGCTAACTAACTAACTAACTAACTAACTAACTAACTAAACTGAGTAATTTAAACAAAGAGCAATCCTATACGTGTTTCTTTTAGTACTCAATATTTTATTTTTTAGTGTCATTGCCCCCACCCTCAACCACCCTCATCAAGCAAACACACACATACACGTACACGTACACACACATACACGTACACACATACAAACACACGGACACACACACACACACACACACACACACACACACACACCACCACCACCACCACCACCACCACCACCACCACCACACACGTGCACACACTTATCTACATGCCCTTTAAAAAAATACATATTATTATGTAAATGCCTAATTTCATCGCAACCCGTTAAAATAATTATAAAACCATTGTTTACCTCCCCTTCTTATAAAACCATTGTTTATCTCCCCTTCCCAGCTGCGACAGAAGCTCCTTGTGGAGGCCCACCCAACGGTAACGCCAAACTCCCCGCAACAGAAGTCAGTAGAGGGGGAAATCGACGGCGATGACGACGACGACGACAACGACGATGATAATATTGATGACGGTGAAGATAATGACGAGCGTCAGGACCCCAGCAATGATGACATAGACGATGAGAATGACAACACGGGATTATCGACAGATGAAGGAAGCAACGAAATTAAGGATAAGGAGAGTGAAAGGAGAAGTGAAGAAGAAAAGGAAGGTGATGAGGGAACAGAACATGGAGAGGATGTTAAGGAAAGATTTGGTAATAATTTTGAAGAAGGAGAAGATAATGGAGAAATTGTTGATTCTTTTGCGAATGGTAGCACTGAGCAGAACAGTACCGACTCTGAGTTAGAACATGATGAAAAAGATGACAATGAATATAAGGATGATAATTCTGATAACAAACAAAAGAGAGCAATAGAAAATCCCACAGTAATCCAATCACCTAAAGAAGGGCCACACACAACAGTTGCAATGGAAACACAAACAAAAAAAAAGCAGGAAAGCAGGAAACGACGATCAATGGGGAATAACCGAGAAAATATTTATGAAAACAACAAGGGCGACAAAAGTGGCGTCCCTTCGGAAACGCCAAGCAAGCCATCTCAGCAACCTTTGCGTTACAGCGAAGCAGTCGTGAAAAGACTCTCCGAGAGGCTGGAGTATCTCAAGTCTTCTTTGGTTCATTGTTATCTTCTTTACAAAGACATGGAAATCGGAGTGTAAGTCACTCTATAGAAGGTACTCAAGTTTCCCTTTACAAACAAAAGCAAAAACGAAAACTAACCACCCCCCCCCCCAACCTTTATTACGAAAGATCCATTTCCACTGTCCACGCTTCTGAAAATGTCTTTTCGCGGCATGGTGTGCACGAGTATTGCTTTCAAACATGTAATCTATCCAAATAGGTAATCTATCCTTCCCTTCTAGCACACATTGAAACAGGTGTAGATAGTATCGTTTGCCTATTTGGAAATGAAGAAACAAACAAACAAACCCTGTCATGTTACGCTCCTCTCAGCAACACAGATTTCATTTCGAATGTTAATACAAGACTGCCATGCCGCTGGTGTGAGCTGTATTAAATGGAGCGTGCCCGCATTGTAAACAATATCAAACCTTTTTTCCCCTGCTCACTCTCCCTGTGCTTACTCGTGGAGTTATATTATATCAATGAGATAAACCCTAACCATTTATAATCTGCAATTCTAAAATCATCATCATCATCATCATCATCATCATCATCATCATCATCATCATCATCATCAACATCTATTCAACTTTCTCTCCCCTTCCCTTTCTCCTCCCACCTCCTCCTGACTCCCACTTCCCCCTTGTCCTCAACCCCGTCCACCATCACCTCGCCTCCCCCTCCTCCTCCTCCTCCTCCCCCTCCTCCTCCTCCTCCTCCTTCTCCTCCTCCTCCTCCTCCTGCTCCTCCTCCTCCTCCTCCCTCTCCTCCTCCTCCTCCTCCTCCTCCTCCTCCTCCTTCTGTTCCATATATTCTTTCTCCTCCTCCCCTTCCCCATATCTGAAGTGTTTCCTTTTGGCTGGCACAATTCACGCCGTCGTTGTATCAGCTGTATCAAAGATTAGGACCAACATAATTTTCTTGTTTCTTCGTCTAATATGCACGCCTGCTTTGAATTTCTAATATCGGTTGCTTAATATTGAAATGGTTTGCTATGTTTTTGCTCGTTTAAATCTTGTATTTTAAAACGTTAAATTACGTACTGCGTCATTCAGTCGTTCTTGTACTGTCTTGCTGATGAAGTCCATCCCCGATAGCCCGACAGACAAAAAACCCAAACAAAACAACTCCATAATAAAACAACTTTAAATGAGTGAGATTTGGAGGTGCCTGAATATAAAGACACCAATATGCGGTTGTCCATAAGTGTTATTTCAAGTTTTGACAATAGCTTGCTTCGTGGTTGATTTGTGCACTAGTGCTTTTTTATAAATGGAAGCGAACAAAAATAATAATATGAGTATCTGATGTATGCGTAATAGTTTGATGGAACATATTTAGCATTCCTGTAAAAATAATCTTTGATACCTGGGCTGAAATTCACCTACATTATCAAAATAAGAGAGACCATGGTAATTCTGATGTGGCACCTGCAGTATTCTAGTGGTTGGGCTACCGGACGCGTGATCGTGAGGTTGCGGGAACGTGAGTTCGAGGCTCTGCGCTGCCAGAGGTTTTGTCATTGGAAAAGGCACTTTATACTCGTACCAACTTTTCTCACGTCACCCTGGAGTGAATAGATATCTGGCCTAGGCATCGAAAGCTCTTGTCAATATGCTAGTTTTTTTTTTAGCGTCTATGAAATGGCGACTTGCACTGTATGTTTCCCGGGGAGTTGAGATTGTTTTAGAATGCTTTCAGGGTTGCATACATACATACTTTGTAAAGTTCATAGAGTTTGCCGCTGAGAAGAAGTTTGCGCCTTACAAATGCTATTTTATATTTGATACATCTTTTTATTATGCATAAAGTCTATTGTGTTTATTCCTCTTATGAGAATTCAGGTCACCGTCAAGAAATTCCAACTTTATTTCGCTTTTGGAATTAAATGTCGAGTGGATCTAATTTCATTCAGGTTGCTGAGTACATTAATTGTTTTTGCTGTTGAAATACTCTGAAGTTATCTATTGCCAAATCTCACAAAAACAAAAGAAAAACGCACCATGCATTCCAGTAAAGACATACTTTATAAATTATTTCGTGAGAAATGTATAGACTTTCTTTATTTGATGATCTACAGTCATAAAGCTTAATGGATGGCATTTAACGCATCTGACGCTCCAATCAACACAACTGAGACCATTTAGGAGGGAGGCAGGCAGCTTTGGCTATAGCCCTGTCTTATAGACGCTGAGGTTCGATATCTATTTTCTTAGAACAAGAATTAATTGAACTTCGACTGTTTGCAAAAATTACTTTGGGACCCACACCTCAGACATCGGTATGACACAGAATAGTCTAGTCCTGTCTTGAACGTCAATTCATTTCTAGCTCTTTCGACTTGATTTAAGTGGGTGTTTTTGTAAAGTTTTTTAATTGAAAAAAACAACAACCCCCACAATATGATTTTCCTTTAAAAAAAAAACTGAGCTCAACAGTTGAGGTTAATATAGCAAGAAAGCAATTTCACGATGGCAATAAATTCATGAGTATCCATTGATAATTTTTTTTCTTATTATCATCTTAATCTATCATATTTTGAACCCATTTGTCTAAATCACGTGCAACAGTAAGCGTAAGTTTAACAGGTTGTTGCGAGAAAGGTACACTGTATAATATATAGAAATTGTATTCTGAAATTTTTATCATTCACATGGACGGGACGAAGGAACAACTTCTGTGTTATTTGTTGCCGTTTCATTTTTGTTTATTTAATGTTCAGATATTACAGAGTAGGAGGATTGCAAATAAAACTGTTGCAATTCCCTCTGAAGGTCTCTTTCGTTGTTGCCTTTTAAATACTCGTGTATTATGAATTTGGCTTTACCCTTGTCTTTGCTGCTGCTGCTGCTGCTGCTGCTGCTGCTGCTGCTGATGATGATGATGATGATGATGATGATGAGGACGATGATACTATTGGTATTGTTGTTGCTATTGCTGTTACTGGCTGCAAATCTAGGTTGTTGATCCGGGTTATGACACCCCCCTTTCCGAAAAAAAAAACCCCGCAGGGGGGATTATGATTTTATGAACAGTGTGTTGTCTCTGTCCTCCCACATACAATAAGATAGCAACTGCACTGTGTATATTATTATCTCCCAGAAAGGCTGCCACTCCCAGCCTACAAAAACTCTCAGTTGCAAGAATGGTATCTTTTCTTCACCCCAAAAGGGCGTTCACACGAGAAGTGTTGGACGGACGACCGATAACGGTCAATCGGCAAAATGCACACAAAATTCTTACGTTACTGCAATGTGTTCACATTTACTGTATTAGGCTAGCCGTTGACGGCTGAGTTAATTTTAGTGCTCCCCGTCTGTTATTTCTGCAGTAAAATCTGTAAATAAATGTGATTTCTTTATAGTTGCATATAAATTGTCCAAGACAACTTCGACTGTGTTCCAAATAACCAACCTGTTGAAACTTTCCAGTCAAGATGTTAAAGCACCTTTATTTCTTGTAAGTAAGATCAGGAAAGATAATATAAGCATTCGGGTGCATGCAATGGTATAAAATCACAACGATAAAACAATAATATACATGTATGCAGTAACAAAACCTTACACATTCGTACGTCACAACAAGCATACGTCATTTCCAAATGTGAAATAGAATGATATAGGTTTATAGCACCTATCAACACTACTAGGTTATATAAGAGGCGGGGTTTCCGAGTTCAATTTTCAAAATCTTGTAATGTAGCTGTTTATTCATTTGAAAGAGGTCGTTGAAAATGACTACCATATAATGTAAAAATATTTGGTCTCGTAAGTAACTTGTTTATAGTTTTCCATTAACTCATGTAGGTCGCGCATTCTGTCAATAGACAGCACTAGAAGTCCAATTTGGGCGCACTTTAAAACAGAAGCATAGCATCATTATCCTTACAGATATTTCAGTTCTGTTATCTTATCTAAAACTTAAAAGGCAGGCAACAACACGCCTACAATGGATGCTGTCATCATTCAGGTTTCTTATAAAGAAGCACTATCTCTTTTAATTCAAAAAACGTTTTAAAAGATGTTTGAGGTGTACGTTTCACGAATTAGATTTAAATATTTCATTATTTCGTCATGTCAACCTTGAATGCACAATTATTTACAAAGTATATTTACATAGTTTTACACTCCAAAGCGCAATGTCAAATTAATGATATATTCACGAGTTTAAAGTGAAAATGATTCATTAACTTTTGAGTATGTACGGTACAAAGATAAGATATACTTATAACGTTGGTGAAAAAAAGTATAGAAAATAAAAGCAAACGCCAGATTTTTTTCATTGCTGTGTGTCGTGCACTGACAATAAAACATCATCAAATTGTCAAGTTTAATGCAAAGAGTAATGTTTTACACAAGCCAAAAGCAGTAGACGGTCACCACGATGTCTTTGAGAACAGACTCTCAATCGCAAACAGTTGATTTCATATTATACACAAATAAGTAGATTGCATCCAATAAACATGTGAACAAACGAGCATGCCATCAGCTGAAAAATTGACACCCTCATTTTACGTCAGAGAAAGCATACACACACGTGGACAAACTTATAAACACGTTACCCTAAAAAATTCAAACAGTATACAAACTGACATACATGAGGACACATATTTTGAAGTAATAACAGCATCAAATTTTTAAAAGATGGTATTTCGTTTCTCATTTTTTACCAAAATGACTACAGTTTCGGCTTTACTGGTCCATGGTGACGATATTTGGATCGAAAAAGACACCATAGTTTGGTAAAGTACAGGTACAATGCTGTTTTTAACGTGAGTTCGACGTTTCGCTGATATGACGTCACAGCGTTTACTAGGCCAACCTGGATTAAAAGGGATACAGTGCCCCTGCGGACATATCAAAACTCGTGATGAATTAATCTAAGTGATTTACTTTACTTTTTACTTTAACCTTTCTCTGTTATCCTAAGGATTTTGAGGGGAAGTGCATGTTTCGGTCTTGTGCTAAGTGTATGACGTCTGTGATATATATTTATGTTATTCCATGACCTTTTTAACCCCATGCAGGTCAGGTCTTTCTTGGTTTTCCTCTTGATTTGAAGCCGGACTCACGATGTGATAAGCTCTTGCCTCTAGTTGTTTCTGGGCGGGGCATTCTAGTTAGATGTCCGAAACATTTGACTCTTTAGCTCTCAATGAAATTTATTACTGGTGGTATTCCGGTTTACGGGCGTATGGTCTCGTTTAGAGATTTATAATAGCTCCAAAAATAATTGAAGTCAAGGAATACTGGGTTTGGGTTTCGATCTTGGGTCACTGGAATCGCATGACATAATACATGTACATGTAACTTCTACACAGCGAAACATATGTTTGACCCATCGAAATTATAAGTTCAGAGAACGGAAAAAAACACAACTCTTTTATTGCAGGGTCTACAGTGAAATATTTCTCCAAAAGTGCTTTGGGTTTGGACTGGAAAGAGCTAGGCTATAAAATTAACAACAATAAAGAGAGAGAGAGAGAGAGAGAGAGAGAGAGAGAGAGAGAGAGAGAGAGAGAGACAGACAGACAGACAGACAGACAGACAGACAGACAGACAGACAGACTGACAGACAGACAGACAGACAGAGAATACAAAGGGAGGGGGGAGGCAATACATACTTGCAGCACAATTGCGATTATTTGAGATACTATTTGTTCACTAAAGCATTTTTGCCATGTTTTCCGTAGAGCGTTGTCAGAGGCCAATTAATGCCAATTAATTACAACGACTTCACTCATAATTGATTAATTTTTTCAAAGTAGCGACGCCAGGCATGACCCTGTGCTGTGTACAAGCGTCATCAGAGAAATGAAGATCAAGGTCAGGATAAACATCGAGCTGGTGGAGGAGGCTGAAGAAAGAAAAACGTAACACAGAGAGGGTGAGTAACGACATTGGTATCATGGTGTGTTGGCTTTAAAAGGTAAGTTGAATAAAATGTTACAAATACATACCCCCCCCCCCCCCCCCCCCACAAAAGCAGGTATACAAAAATTGTGAGGAACTATGGTAAAAACAGGCGCTCGTCAACACAGTGACTTCGAAGAAACCTACAAATTTTATTGCCTGCACATTGGACAACTTTTACGGAATTCTTTTTGATTAATTAATTAATTGGCTCAGCACCTTCCTTCTCAATTGAAAATCACATTTCAGTGTGGATTTTTACTGAAGACCATTGGCCAAAAGCACAAAACACTAGGAATAATAATGTAAATTTGCAGTTCTCAAGGACGCTCAAGCTTTTGAAGTCGCCAAGCTTTGGCTGCCAATTTCTCGCTTATTTTACCTCTGGCACCAACCGACCACAAACTCCTTTAGTCTCAGATATAACGACTTCTATTAAAGGTAGATCTAGATGGATATTTTTTTCATTAAAAGAAAAACGAATGAATAAGTTTTAAGATACACACACACACACACACACACACACACACACACACACACACACACACACACTCACACACACACACACACACACACAAATACACACGCACACACATACACACACATAACTCTCCACACACACACTTTTGCATACACAAACGCAAACACACAAACCACTCACCCGAGGAAGGATTTCCCAGAAGATTGGGACATTTTTCCTCCATCATTAGTTTATCTGTTTGTCTCCCTTGTAACTTCTGCCCCAGATACTCTCTCAGAGCTCCGCACTCCGCGAAGCCAGCTCGTTCTAAACATCGAGTGGCTGTCTGGAAATCACTGCACACAAAGTAGAAACAAATTAAATAAACACACACATGTATTAGAATAGGTTTGTTATGCTGTTGAATGCTTGAGACGTAAAATCTTTCGGTAATGATAACACTTAAAAATTAGAACACGCCCCAAACAAACAAACAAACAAACAAACAAACAAAACAACAAACAAACAAACAAACACACAAAACAAACAAATAAACAAACAAACAAAAACAGATAACAAGAAAAAAATCCAACAGAAAAAAAGGTTTTCAGGGCTATACATTTTGTAATTACAAAATGTTCCAGATATCTATAATACGTAGGCTACGCACTTGTATATGGGGTGGCACACATTAAACACAATATGGTTTATGTATTGTAAAGTTAAAACATGACAACTGAAAAAAAAAAAAAATTTAAATCCAACAGTCAGTTTTGAAGAGCTATTGTTTTCTAACGTGCAAGCAAAATATCAACCTATTTTCTATTTTTAAAAATAAGTGAGACATTGACTATATAAGATATATTAACAAAATCTAACATGGCCGCCTTCTCCATTGCAACGAAACATTGTTCATAATATTTATATTGCGTATTTGAAAAATCCACACTATATTTGTTTTATGTGTGAAAAGTCGAGAAATTTGGTGCTCACATACTCTAACAATCGAGATAGCACCTAGTTGCCGGCCCCCCCCCCCCTTTTTTTTTTAAAGGGCTACACAACAGACACCGGTGCCACCCACTATGCAACCATTAAAAATACACGATGCAAAAAACAACAACAACAAAAACAAAAAATAAATAGATAAAATCAAAACAAATTTGAATGTTTGCAGCACCTGCACTGTTGTTTGGTGGGGATCGGCTCTTCCTCTTCTTCTTCCCCAGACGGCCAGGAGAGGGCGAAAATCCTCAAACAGTGATCGATTCTGGCAACACCAATGTCTCCACACTTGTCTGAAACATGGCATAGCAAACAGTACAACCACGAGGTGTGTGGAGGCAGGGGAAGGTGTGGGGAGGCAGGGGAAGGTGTGGGGGTGGGGAGGGGGAGGGTAGGGGGAGTCGAACGTTTTTCAGACATACAGATGGTACCCTATTTCTTTGAAATTGGTCTGTGTGTGAGGTGGGCTGGGTTGTGTTGGGTGGGTGAGTGAGTGAGTTAGTGTTTGTGAGTGTTTGTGAATGCGCACGCGCAAGTGTGTATGTATTTGTGTGTAATTTTTTTTTTTTTTGGTTTGTTTTTCTGTGTGTCTGTTTGTTTGTTTGTTTGTGCATGCGTTTGTGTATGTTTATGTATATGTACGTGTGTATGTGTGTGCGTGTGTGTGTAGGTGTGTGTGCATGTGTGTGTTAGTGTTTGTGTGTGAGTTTGTTTGTTTATGCGCCTGCGCGCGCGTGTGTGTGTGAGTGTGTGTGTATGTATGTGTGTGTGTGTGTGTG